AATCTGCAAAACAATAATGACAGAATTGAAGACCAACTTCAAAAAATTAATTCTCGTCAATTAATGAAGAGTTTTACCTTGATTTTTGGTTATGTTGTAAACTTTGATGTCTAGTTTCCATAGAAACAAGTCTCTTGTCATTCGGATTCTCCTACAGAAAAATAGAGACATTTTGGTGGGACTGCATAGAGCTATAAAAAAAGAAGACAGATTTGATAGCAAACTTCAAAAATCAATTTCCGCCAATTCAGAAGGTTTTTGATTTTGAATTTCAGATATGTCGTAGCCCTCTGAGTCTAGTTTCTGGAACATCAAACGGATCATGATTTCGATATTTCTACAACAAGTTATGTACTTTCTATCGGAGGCGTGCTGTGCTAAAAAAAAAGAAGGTGACGAAAATTGAGTTTGGTATGCCTCAAGTTGAGGATCAATCATTGTAAGAGCATGTGTATTTATAGAAATCAAAAGTACATAAATTGTGTTCCTACAAATTATGGAAAAACCATATTTAAAATAAAATTATGGTAAATTTTCCTAGAGACCAATTTATGGTAAGTTTTCATAGGAATTAAATTATGGAAATTTTCCATGGGAATCAAATTATGGAAATTCCATAGAAACCAAATTATGGTAAAGTTTTCTCGGATACTACATGGAAAAAAAAAATGCCCCGAAGGAGAATAGACTTGCATAATGAGAATTTGAATTCCTTGTGTTTTATTCAAGCATGATTGAGCTAAGTTGAAAAAAAGAAAAAAAAGAAAAAAAAAGAAGAGAAGACACCGGCAGGGCATTCAACCCCAAAGAAAGCAACGCCTAAAATTTGCGTCGAAATCACAAGCTCTGTATCACCAAGTCAAGCTTGAAGACGCAATCCTTGCTCATCGAATTGGCGATCGTTTTGTAGTTGATAACCCAAATGAAATTACCAAACTATGAAGAAATGTCATGCGATAAGTCTTCATGAGCTCGAAACACTTCAAGTCGAAAATGAGTTGATAAACAATCGAAAGTCAAATGATCTCTTACAAATTAGAGAATGTTGTCATGAAGACTCTGGTAAATGTTGACATCAACATATCGGCATAGTCATTTCTCATGAAGCTTCAAATGTTTCTTGAAAGATCAACTACGGAAAAAAAAATTGTCTTTACAAGTTCGATAAATCGAGCACCCCAACAAGCCTCGAAGCAGGGGGCATTTGTAGACAGTGAAGTTTTATTGATAAATCCATACTAAATTTGGATTAAATCTTAAATTCATGATACGTTGACCAAGTCAAATTACTGGTTAATAAAGTCGGATTAATATTTATGTCAGAATTATATGACTTAAATCAAGTCCAAATTACATTTGGGTCAGTTCATTAAGTTGACAAGATGAGCCCAACTCATGTTCTTCAGCCCAATGGTCAAAATTGCTTGGACCAAAATACCCCTAAAGCCCTAGCTCAAGCTTATATAAAGAGGTCTTCATAAGACCAAAAGAGACACATACATACACACAGAAATACATAGTTGCTCTTCATTGGTGATCTGCAAGTCTTCCGCATACAAAGAAGTCTTCGCTCCAAGTATTGAGCCGCAAGTATTCCGCCAAATCAAGAACATCTGTGGAGGGAAGAATTAGGGGATTACATATCTTTTTAAGAGATTTTATAAAGATTGTAACCTTCGCATTAATTCAAATACAAATATTATTGTATGCTTGCTATTTTTCTTTTCCTGTTTACTGTATTTCAGGATTGAAACTTTAGACGCTTACAATGTGTATGATTCATTGTAAAATATTTTTTACCTTAGGAACCTGTTACGTATAAGGAACACTTATCACATCTAGAACTCACAATTTTATGGTGCGATTCGAAAAGACAACATCGAAACTTTTGGATGCAATAAGTAAAGTTAGAGATGAGTTTCAAGTAGATTTAAATTTTAACAAAAAATAAAATACATTAGAATCATATTTTACTAAATTGTCTTAGATATATTTGTACTTTTAAAGAATAATTAATTTATAATACTAATGGAACCATATATTTATAAAGGGGTATTCTGAAAATATATTATATTATTATCTTATCGAAATGAGTGATTTTTTTCTGTTTTCCTGAGTCAGAACTGCAAGAAAATATTATTTTAGAGAGATTATTAATTTACCTTGTATTAGTTTAGTAAAGTTTTACTGTATGTGACAAACTAGTAGATTCCTATAAAGGGAATTATTTAAAAAAATAAAAAAATAGATCCTAGCACATGAACGAAGTTCCTGACAGAATAAGGTGTAATCAGATTATAAACACAGCCCTTCACCATCGCAACCCTAGTTTTCATACTTTCCGGTGGTAATGGCCACTACAGCCGGTGGCCAACCTCCCAATGAGGTTGGTCAACCCGCTTTACTCTCAAACCCCTTTATTTCGTATGCGGAAAAACTAAAACCAATATCACTCAATACAAAACCAATACTGCTGAAGCCAATATCATATCTACATGGGGAGCCTACAGTACTATGGGAACAGGAGGAAATAAATCAGATGATAATTAATGAAAATTTGGAATATGCGGTAGTTGGAAAATTTTCATATGGATGGCCGGATATTCAAGAGCTGAGGAAATTGATTCCAAAACAGTGTGAACTCAAGGGGGAATGCAAGATTGGGCTGCTTAGCAATAAGCATGTCCTCATCCGAGCAACTCTAATGGAGGACTATGTGCACTTACTATCCAAACCAGCTTTCTACATTTCACAACGGAATTGGCCTTTCTCTATGAGAACGCTAAAGTGGGATCCAATGTTTGATCCCGAAGAAGAGACGACTATAGCCATTGCTTGGATTTCTTTTCCATCTCTCCCACCAAATTTTTTTGGTAGAGAAACAATTTTCTCATTGGCAGCGGCAGTGGGTAAACCTTTACAGGTTGACATGGCGATAAGGAACCAAACAAGACCAAGTTGTGCTAGAGTCAAAGTGGAGGTGGATTTGCTCGGAGAATTTCCCAAAAGAATCAAAATAGGCATGAAGAAAACTAATGGGGAGGTAATGGAGAAGTGGGTGAGAATAAAATACGACTACGTACCAAAATACTGCAAGACATGCATGCTACAAGGACATGATGAGCAACAATGTTATGTGGAACATCCGGAATTGTATTCAAAGAAGGAGAAAATAGAGTGGAAGTAGATGCAAAAGAGGAAACGGAGAACAAATATAGCCGGGAAAAAGGCAGTGATAGGATGGAAGAAAGGAGTGCACCTCACCAAATAGAGATGATAAACAAGTTTGGGGAACCAAAAACTAAAAAGGAAGGGTGGAGGAAGCAGCCAGAGAGAGTTTGGGCCAAGGTGGACATTCCTACAGGTAACAAATTTGAAGCTTTAGAGAAAGAAGAAAAAGAAGGTGAAATGGTAGAGAACTCTACAAGAGGAGAAAGCCAGGCATCGGACAGGCTAAGTGCACACGCAGTAAAAGAATCATCCAAAGAATGGGTCGAAGGTTCATTTGGAAAGCAAGACAAAAGGACATCCCCAGGGGCACAAGGCAGTCACACTAACATAGAGGCAGAGAAAGTACATACACTGGTAAAGAATGGGGGATCTGTGGAAATATCTAGCAACATTGGAGAGAATACTCCATTTACTGTTGACAGAGGTTGTATGCAGGAGAAGGATCAACAATAGGATAATAATGTACTAATAAGTGATGAAGTGACAAAGAATAATGACCCAGAGATAAAGTTAACAAAAGCTCCAAACCTAATTGACGAATCGGAGGGAGAAATACAACATAGAAGGGAAGCAGAAGAAGATGACTACATGGATTATAATATCCAGCAGATCAGTATTGCAGGGGATTTATCCCCAAGGCACATGAATAGTTTGACGGCAAAAAGAGGAAGGCCCACCGTTCCTCTTCAAGTCAAAACAAGAAGTAGCAAGGACAAATATTCCAATAGTGATCAATGATTGAGAAAGCTATTTTTTGGAATATTAGATCCGTTAATACTCAAAATTCTTTTGGGAGATTAATGGACCTAAATAGAAGACATCATTATTCATTTGTAGCTTTAATGGACCCTTTTCAGGATCCATTAGAGTTAGAACAATACAAAAGAAAGCTAGGTTTTGATAATGCTCTGGCCAACTATTCCGGGAAAATTTGGATTTTCTGGAGGGAGGACTGGGAGGGCACCTTGCTGATGGATTCCATACAACACATATCTATGAAATTCTGTAAAAATAATAGGTCTTTCATTATTTCATCAGTATATGCTAGGTGTAATGCGTTGGAAAGACTGGAATTATGGGAAGAATTAGAAGGTATTGCAGAAGATTGGCAACTACCTTGGATGGTTGGGGGTGATTTTAATGTTATTATTAATGAGGAAGAGAAATTGGGAGGTCTTGAATTCACTCAACAGGAGGCTACTGATTTTGCTCTTTGTATTAGTAGTTGTGGGTTAACTGAAGTAAAATTTTCAGGGAGTAAATATACTTGGTGGAATGGACGAATAGAGGAAGCTTGTATTTTCAAGAGATTGGATAGAATTTTAGTGAATGCTTTGTTCACAGAGGAATTTCCATCTAGTGAGGTTCATCATTTAATCAGACAGGGCTCAGATCATGCTCCTCTTCATGTGATTTGTGATACAGCAGAGGAGCCTGTGGTGAAACCTTTTCGTTTTCTAAATTTTTGGACTAAACATCATCAATTTAAGGAAGTAGTACAACAACACTGGAGGATTGAGTTTGCAGGTAGCCCTTTTTTGGAGGTTCATGCTAAGATGAAAAGGGTAAAATAAGCTTTAGCTAAATGGAGTAGGGATGTATTTGGTAACATTTTCCAGCAAATTTCTACTGTTGAGGATGTGATTAAGGTTAAGGAAACTCAATTGGAGATTTTCCCTACAGTACAAAACAGGGCGGAGCTGAGTAGAATGGAGGCAGAATTGAGAAAATACCTCAGGATCGAAGAAGAATATTGGAAGCAAAAGGCGGGAATGAAATGGTTTGTGGATGGAGATAGAAACACTAAATTCTTCCACTCTTATGTTAAAGGAAGAAGGAAGAAGTTACATCTAGCTGAGATATGTAATGAGCACGGGGTGATGGTGAAGACAAATCAGCAAATAGGGCAAGCAGCCATCAGTTTCTTTTCTGAGCAGTTTAAGGCAGAGGAGACATCTCAGGATTACTCAATGTTGAGACATATCCCTAAACTGGTCACAGAAGAAGAAAATGAAGAAATGATAAAGCTTCCAACACAAGAGGAGATAAAAAAAGGTGGTGTTTGAACTTAATGGAGATAGTGTGAGTGGACCAGATGGTTTTCTGGTTTGTTTTTTCAGTCCTGCTGGGAAATCGTCGGAGCAGATATCACCAGACTAGTGATTGCATTTTTTTGTGGACACACACTGCCAAATTTTATTACTCACACCAATCTGGTTTTATTACCAAAGAAGGAGGATGTTAACAACTTTGCACACATGAGGCCAATTAGTTTGAGCTCCTTTATTAACAAGATTATATCGAGATTGGTGCATGATAGAATAGTAGACGTGCTGCCCAAGATTATATCTCCCACCCAATCAGGTTTTGTGAAAGGAAGGAGTATAACTGAAAATGTTCTTTTGGCACAAGAAATAATTAGGGATATTCAAATGAGAAATCAGCATATTAATGTGGTTGTGAAGTTAGATATGGCTAAGGCGTATGATAGAGTGTCCTGGATATTCCTGACAAAGGTGTTGCACAAGTTTGGTTTCTCGAAGGTAATTATAGATATGATATGGAGACTCATCTCGAGTAATTGGTATTCATTCCTCATTAATGGCCAGTCAAATGGTTTCTTTCAGTCTTCTAGAGGTCTTAAACAAGGTGATCCATTGTCCTCAACATTATTTATTATTGCAGCAGAAGCTTTGGCGAGAGGTTTAGACAGCTTACACAGTGATAAAAATTATAAAGGATATGGTTTGCCAAAATGGAGCCCAGCAATAAACCATCTGTCATATGCAGATGACACAATATTATTCTGTTCAGGGGCTAGATCTTCAGTGATTAAGATGATGACAGTGATAAGAGATTATGAAGAAATATCTGGTCAAATGGTTAATAAGGCTAAGAGTGCTTTCTATCTTCATGACAAGACACCCTTAATAGTGCCAATCAGAATGAGAAAACTCACGGGAATAAGACAAGGTAATTTCCCATTCACTTATTTGGGATGCCCTGTTTTTTATGGAAGGAAGATCAACAGTCACTTCGAAGACTTGGTAAGGAAGGTGGCTCGAAGAATTTTGTCTTGGCAAAATAAATTCCTATCATTTAGAGGTAAGTACATACTTATTAGTCATATTCTTCAATCAATACCGGTTTATCTTTCATCTGCTATGAATCCCCCCAAGAAGATTATTGCACAACTACATCAGATCTTCGCAAAATTCTTTTGGGGCAATACAAGCAATATAAATGGAAAACATTGGGTAGATTGGAGTGACATGTGCTACCCTAAGGCGGAAGGGGGTTTGGGGTTTCGATCTCTACATGATGTTAATAATGCCATGTTTGCCAAACTATGGTGGAGATTCAGGGTGTCTATTTCTTCATTATGGAGTAACTACATGCGCAATAAATATTGTAAGAAATTACACCCTACAGTGGTTAGGAATTCTGCAGCTTCTCATGTGTGGAGGAAATTATTAGTAGTAAGGGAAGAGGTGGAACATGAGATTTGGTGGCAAGTTAAAGCAGGGAGTTCAAGTTTCTGGTACGATAACTGGACAAAACAAGGAGCTTTATTTTTCACAGAAGGAGAAAGTGCTGGGGAAGAGGAATTAGAGGTAAAAGAGTTTATTGGAAATGGAAGTTGGAAAATAGAGAAATTGCAGGAACATATATCAGAGGAAATGATATGTCACATAGTTAAAAACATCCAGCCTAACACTTATGCTTTGAATGATAAGCCGTGGTGGATGGGAAATTCAATAGGAGTTTTTTCGGCCAAATCAGCTTATCACTTACTAAGGAATAAGAGAGACATCATTGACTGGATGAGTTGCATTTGGATTAAAGGTTTACCTCTTAAATTTTCTTTCTTCTTATGGAGAGTGTGGAAGAAAAGAATTGCAACAGATGATAATTTGAGGAGAATGAGGATGCATATAGTATCTAAATGTTACTGCTGTGATAAGGGGGAACTGGAAACCATGACACATTTATTACTAACAGCTCCCATAGCTCAAAGGCTATGGAAGCAGTTTGCTTCTTGTGCAAGTTTAAATATTGATGGGATTCATCTACACCATTTACTCATTAAATGGTGGAAATATGAAGGAAACCCAAAATTGCAGCAAATCATGAAGGCCATTCCAACCATTGTCACATGGGAACTATGGAAAATGAGAAACTCAATTAGACATGACAAGAAGGTATCGTTTGATAAAATGTTCAGTCAATGTCAGATGACAGTTCATCGGCTCATAAAAGCCAATTATCCATGGCTCAAAAACATTCCTCTTCAATGGAGTGGGATGTTTGATTTATTGCAAAGATATAGGCCCACATTATTTTATCATATTGTGCGATGGACAAGGCCAAAAGAGGGTTAGGTAAAATGTAATACGGATGGAGCAAGCAGAGGTAACCCAGGGATGAGTTCATATGGCTTTTGTTTGAGGGATAGTAGCGGGGATCTACTGTATGCAGAAGCCAAAAGAATAGGATTTGCCATTAACATGGTGGCTGAGATTACAGCAATCTGGAAAGCTATGAGATACTGTAAAGAACAGGGCTATGCTAACATATTTTTAGAGACTGACTCATTAAGTCTTAAAAATATGATTAGAGGGGAATGGAAAATACAGTGGGAAATAATTGAAAGAGTAGAGGAGATTCATGAGATGATGGAGATAAGTAATACTCAGATAAGACACATATACAGAGAAGCCAATCAGTTAGCAGATTTCATCACAAACACAACAATAGATCAAGAAGGTAAACTACAGTATCATGGGTTCTATCAACTACTAAGTAAAGCAAGAGGGATTTTAAACATGGATAAACAACAAATAGCAGCAATCAGAATAAGCACGAGGAGAATCAATATTACCAACAGTCAGTAACATGGAAAGCAAAGGAAAAGCCATAGAATCACACAGCTATGATATTTACAAGAAACTTTGTGGCAAGATTAAATGGAACCTAGTCGTGCGAATTTGCAAACATTATGTCAGCAAACAACAATCGAGACAAACACCAGCAAAAGTGGAGAGTTATGGAACCATATATAACTTGAGGTGCATAAATTCAGCTAGGAGATCAGCAGAAAGTTGCCCAGTAACATTTCTTCACCTGCAGAAAGTATGTCAGGAGGAAACAAGCTGGAAGGAAAGAAGAAGGAACAAGAAGGCGTTTACACTGAATATGCAGGTCAGAAACGTATTTCTACAAGCTGAGCAGGAGAAGGCAGCATGTGCTCGCCCACAAGAACAGCTTCAGTGGCGGAGACAACCTGAAAAATGAAGAATGCGAAGCACTTTTTAGGAAACCCCACTAAACTGATTGTGGGCTAGACATTTATTAATTAATAGGTTGTGTTATTTTGATTTTGCATTTATGGACTCATCCTGAGCCCATCAGACTCCCTTTATTAATAATATCGGACCAATGGTCCAAGTTTAACTAAAAAAAAAAAAAAAAAAAGTTCCTGACAGAAATCTTAGGTGTTACACCAAAAATTATATAAATGAGCCATAAAATCCAAAATAATTATAAGTTTATATCCAAATTCAATGATATATCCATTCTATCATAAATAATTACAGGTCATATAAACTCTATTAATTAAGGTTGATAATTTTCACTTAACTTATATTAAATCAGTATAATATGTTGTATTGATATCAGCTTTAATGATACCAATACATTATATGATACTAATTTAGTATCAGTTAAACGAAATTAATTGAAAATATATAGTATAATTATTTAGTGGAATATGAATGTAAATAGATATATATTTGTAATTATTTTACTTTTATAAAGTATTTGCTTAGTTTCCCCATATAGACTCATATACCAACTGTTAGTATCAAAATACTTTCAAATAAATATTGGTATCTTTCTCATAATTAAAGACACATCACGTCAAATCATCAAGGATTTAACAATTAATGTAGAAGTATATATTGTTAAAGTGTGTGATCATCTCAATTTAAAATTTAAGCTATTAGAGAAAACACATTTTTTATTAGTTAATGATATTCTCAACACGTCCTCTCACGTGCAAACCAAAAACACATGACTCTTTTTCATTGATCAAGCACATGAAAATTCTTTTTAATTTGGGTGGCAGTGAAGTTCGATTTCAAGACCTCTGACTATTCTGATATCATGTTAAAGTGTGCGACTATCTCATCTGAAAGCTGCAGTTGTTAGAGAATGTACACTTTTATTAGTTAATAATTTTCTCAACATATATCTGAATTTATAAGCATCATATATTTTTTGTCTCGTGATTTTCGATTATCCAAATCAAGAATAAATTATTCTGTCTTTTTATTATTGGGATGCTAGCTTAAATGAAAATCTTGTGTCTGATTTGTGGACCATATATATTATTATTATTATTATAATTTTTGATTTCAAAACTCAAATGGAAATGGAAGTTAATAAACTTCATGGGTATCCAAAAAAGAATAGTGGTAATACTGCTTATGCTAGAAAACCTAGCATGCAAACATATTACTATCCCAGGCCTACTCCTCAAGATGTTTTAATAGAGGAAAGAGATTGGAATCAAACTAACACTTCTTATAGTGGAAGTGAGATTTATGAATGGAATCTCGATGGGTTAACTGATAGACAGTTGACGATTATGGTTCATAGGATGCTTATGTATGCTACTATCTGCAAAAGTGTTAGTAACACTGACAAGACCATTTGCAAGATGATTATTGCAGGATTTACCAGTCAACTAAGAGGATGGTGGGATAATTATATGCCCTCTGATGCGAGAGCAACAGTAATTAATGTTAAGGCAGTAAATGAAGGAGTTAATAATTTAGGCTTTGCCCTTGTTCAAAATAGAGAAGACGATGTGTATACACTAATTTTGACTATTCTTGAACATTTTAGTGGTAGATTTACCAATCAATATGAAACCATTAGATCTCTACTAAATGGTCTTAGATGTAGACATTTAGGTGAGTTTAGATGGTATAAAGACACTTATTTAAGTCGGGTAATGGAACTTCCCGAAAATGGTTTAGAATTCTGGAAAGCCAAATTTATTGATGGCTTACCTTCTTTATTTGCAGAAAGAGTAAAGAAGACTCTTAGAAATCCACAAGGAATTATTCCCTATAATGATTTTACTTATGGAAAGCTTATTGGGGCTTGTACGCAAGAAGGCATAAATTTGTGCAATGAGTTAAAACTCTCAAGACAGCTTAAGATGGATAAGCTTAGAGAAAAGTCTCAATTGGGAGATTTTTGTACTCAGTTCGGTTTACCAGATGCTTCTAAAGGTACCAACCGAGAAACTTCTAAATCAGAATCTCATAGATCTCATCATAAGAAAAGAACTTCTAGAAGAAGGACTAGAGAAGAAAGAGATGAGTGAAGGGCTCATCGTAAATCTCATAGATTTACCAAGAATAGGTCAAGGCGAAATCTTGATAAGATTAAGTGTTATAAATGTGGAAAATTTGGGCATATAGCTCCAAATTGTAAGCTAGAAAAGCTTAAGACTCTAGAACTTGAGGATGATATTCAAGAGAAGATTTATAGTTTCCTATACACTTCTGGTTCCGAATCAGATTATGATGATTCTGAAGCAAGTTATACCACAGAAGATGAGCAACTTGAATCTTCTAATAAGGTGCAACAAGATTCGAACGATGCTTGCAAATGTCATGGTGATAGTTGTCACTGCGAACATG